GAGTCAGACAATGGGACTCATTTCCAGAACAACCTTGTAGACACTTGGGCCAAAGAGCATGGCATTGAGTGAGTATATCACATCCCCTACCATGCACCAGCCTCTGGGAAAATCAAGCAGTACAATGGGCTGTTAAAAACTACACTGAGAGCAGCGGGTGGGGGAAGTTTCAGGCATTGGGATACACACTTACCAAGGCCACCTGGTTGGTCAACACCAGAGGATCTGCCAACAGAAAGAACTGACAGAAAGTCAGAACTTTTACATACTGTAAAAGGGGATAAAGTTCCTGTGGTGCACATAAAGAATGTGCTGGGGAAGGCAGTCTGGGTTATTCCTGCTTCAGGTAAAGGCAAACCCACTCCTGGGATTGTTTTTGCTCAGGGACACGGATATGCCTGGTAGGTAATGTGGGAAGATGAGAAAGTCCAGGGTGTACCTCAAGGGGATTTGATTCTGGGGAAAAACAGCCAATGAACTCAATTATATGCTGCTGCCTGCTATATAACACTTTCATAGCCCATCAGCTAAATGCCCATCTCCGCTACTCTGGGCTTTGAAAAGAAGGTGTGTGCTGTCATTATCACTACCAGAGAATAAAGTCGTGGAAAAAGCAGGCAGCAGCAGCAGCAGGAGTCTCCCAGTACTGTCCTTAGGTCACCATTGACTGACCTGACTTCCCCCCAGTGACCCCCACAACAAAGAATGAACTTTGATGAGACCAGACAAGCTCAGCAGTGACCAGATGAGTTCAGCGGTGCTGTCAGCAGGCAACAACCCAGCACTGCACACTGTCTTTCCTGCCCTGAAAGGCTGTCGTGACAGATGAAGTCTGACATCATGGTCTGAACTAATTCAGAAAACTTTCTAGGGACGGTCCGTGGACCAAGGAATGATATCTCTTTGTGTGTGCATATATGTATGCATATTAATATATGTATGTGTGTGTATATATATATATATATATATATATATATAGGACAAAATTGTAATGTATTGGGAAATGTGGGACCTGAGTATGACGTGAACGTTATGGAATGACAGGTGGATACTGTCCTGGGTTCAGTTGTAACAAGCAGAAGCTGGTGGACTTTTTCATCCACTTCATGGAGGAGATTGACTAGGAGATTGGTGAGATGAAGCTGTCTGTCAACAGCAGGGCACACGTTGTGGTCGAGGAATTCCTCAAGAACATGAGGCTCTGAAATAAGAGGAGGCAGATCTCTCATGTTGGGATATCTGGAGTGGGCTGTGGGGCTCCAACCCAGCGTGGGCCTTGTGCCCAGTGTCCCCAGTCCCACCTGTGGGGACAGCAGTGCCATTGTGCCCAAGACCCTCTTGGGGACAGGGTGGAAGGACGCCCAGGGGTGCTTGTGCCCCCTTTGCTTGGGAAGTGCTGGGTTTGGGATCCCCAAAGCACACGAAAAGGGGCAGCAGCCGTGGTGATGCGGCCCTAGGGCGCTGAGGCACACAGGGACTCACAGCCGCCTCTCTTCTCTTGCCGTGCAGTTCCCCGGGGCCAATGGAACGCCTGGGATGGGCATGGAAAGCCGGGGCCCATGGAACGTCGGGCGGGGGATGGAGGGGGGGAGCGCATGGAATGCCCGGGGCCGTGGATCGCCCGGAGTCCTAGGGGAGCGCCATGGCAATCGAAAACAGAGAGGGAGGACCCGGCGATGGGGTCAGAACCTGTGGTGGAGGGAGTGGCCTAAAAAGAGGAGATAAATTGGCTTGTACGGCGCTGGGGAGGGGAGGCACCAAAGGAGTTGGGAGGAGCCTCTGGATGCGGAGCACGAAAGCGTTTGAGGGTCGGGGGGGTGTCTCGATATGAAAAGGATCAAGAAAGGGTGCTGGGAGGTTGGGGGGCGACACACATGACGCTGCGGGACTGGTGCTTGGGGCCAGCACGGTGGCTGGGGCTGGTGCACGGGTTGAGGGGGTCCATGTGCTGGACCCCACCTCGGTGCCCAGGGGGAGAATGGACGCGCTTGGTGCCTGGGGGATGCAAACTCACACGCAGGCTATTGCTGTTGGGTCACTCTCTCGTTGGCACACAGACCATCCCAGCCTAGCTGAGGGAGAGGGGCGACTGCCAGAGTAGAAGCTGCTCCTGCTGTTGTTGGGGGGCCGAGTGGGGCCTTTGGGCCCCGTATGGCACCCCTGGGGGGTGTAGAGCAGCCGGGACATGAATCTCTCTGACCTTGTGCATGCTGTGCTAAGCAGACGCGTCTTGGGCAGCCAGAAGCACAAAGGTGGGTGCTTTCACCCCCTGCCCTGCTGTCCCCCCCTGCCACGGGCTGGGGATATGAGGAAGTGACTCAGCCGGGCTTGTCCTTGACACCTGCTGCCAGCACCAAGCAGCAGCACTCCATCAACACGGAGCTGCTGAGGAGGGCCAGGCAGCACGTGGAGACAGCCGTCAAGGTGGGAGCCTGATTACAAACACACACACCAACATGCCATGGACATGTGTTTATTGCACTTGCGTCCCTCCCCAGGAGAAGATGTTCTCGGCACAGTGTCCCTACCCCATCACCCACAAGCTGCTGCAGGCATGGGAGCTGAGTAGAGAAGATCTCCAGCACTGTCAGGGTGGGCATCCACTCCGGCCAGCAGCAGGAGACCCAGAAACTGCTGGACGAGGAGGAGGAAGAGGGCGGTGGTGATGAGCAGTGGGAGGCAGAGCTGCATCCAGAGCCAGGGTTGGCATCCTGCTGGCCTCAGCCCTCCTGAGGAGGAGGAGGAAGAGGAGGAGGAGGCCCACTGGTATGATGAGGAGACCTATGGCATCCATGACATGATGGTTAGTGGAGAGGGACAGAGCTGAACACCGCAGGGCACAGCCTGGGCTGTGCAGTGAAATAGAAAAATATAGGCTGAAATATAATCTATTATAAGTAAGTAAATTAGTCCTGCTTAGTGATCATCTTTGTATAAGACAAATGATCATAGCTGACATAGTTCTAGGGCCTTGTAACCTTCTCCAAAATTTATGGTAATAAAAACAATGTGTAGATAAAGATTATCTAAAACTAGCAGATGTTCAGGATGAGTTGTAGCTGAGTTAACTGATAAGTAGAAGGATGGGGAGAAATCATTCAATTATGTGAGTGGTGTTACTAAACTACTTAAGCTGGAGTAAGCATTTACCTACTGAGCATGCTTCAAAGACTGCCAAGACGAAAGTTCAAGCAACAGCCAAAAGTGATGAAGATTGTTGGAAAAAGTAAACGACCCCCAAAGACCACTACCACATTTTGTGCACATGCAGGAGAAACTGTCTAGAAGAATGATGTTATACATAAGTAACCTCATGAATATGTATGCACCTACTGAATATGTATGCTTAGTGACTATATAAGGAAGGCTGGTTTAGCAATTTGGAGAGACACGCTAGGAGGAGCTATCCCCCGTGTCTCCTGGAGCCCCAGTAAAGAATACCTGCTTGTCAAACTTTGTTGGTGACTTTGTTCCTGGAGATTTCTCCGAATCAGCGGTGAGGGTGGGATGGGGCGGGCACCGGTTTAGAACCGGTGGAGCTCCTCGGTGACACAATGGCAGCCGGACATGGAGGAGAGGCAGGAGCATTCCCTGTGGGATGTGACAGCTCTAAGCCCCATAGAGGGGGGAATAGCACCCCCTGAGCCCCCCGGCACTCTCTCAGCCGTACCTGGCAGGAGCCTTCACCACGTGGAGCTCGGCGGAGAGACCCACGCGCCATCGCAGCGCCGGCAGCAGCATGGCCAGGCTCAGCTCCGCGGGGCGCCCTGGGACGGGGAGGGTCAGCACACACTGGGACCACCCAAAATCGATACCCCCCCCTCAGTTCTTGTACCCCCCATCCCACATTCACCCAGCACAGGCAGGCCGGGGTGTTTGCTCAGCACCAGCACAGCTGGTGAGGGGATGCGGGTCAGGACGTGGCCTCCCCCCGGATCGTCCCTGTTCCCCCTCTTCCTGTTCCCCTTGGTACGTTCCCGGTGCACCACAGAGGCCTCCAGCAGCCCCAGCGTCCCCGATGGGCTGCGTGGCTGCTTCCATCTGTGGGGTGTGGAGCCGGGGGGGTACGAGTGGAACAACCGTACCCCTGGTTGTGGGACAGCCACCCTGGTCAAGTGCTGGTGGTCACTGCCCTGGGTTCAGCAGTAGCAGTCATTTTCCTCCTTAGTAGCTGGTGCAGTGCTGTGTTTTTGATTTTAGTCTGAGAACAGCGGTGGTAACACACTGATGTTTTAGTTGTTGCTGAGCAGTGCTTACCCCAATCAAGGACTTTTTAGTCTCATGCTCTGCCAGTGAGGAGGGACACTGGAAGCCAGGGGAAAGCAGAGACAGGACACCTGACCCAAACTAGCCAAAGGGGTATTCCATACCACAGCACGTCATGCCCAGTATATAAACTGGGGGCAGTTACCCAGAAGGCCCAGATCACTGCTCAGGTCGGGCTGAGTATTGGTCAGCGGGTGGTGAGCAATGGCATTGTGCATCACTGGGGTTCATTGTTTTCTTTTCCTCTTTTAGTTTCATATTCACTCCCCTTTTTATTTCCATTATCGAGGGGGAGTGATTACCGGCTGGGCTTAAACTACAACAGCTTCCCGTAGCATCAGTCCAGTGCTGTTGGATGCATGATTTCGCAACTGCAAACCCCAGTATTGGTGTGAGAATCACTGAACGGTTTGTGTTGGAAGGGACCTTAAACCTCATCTAGTTCCAGCGCCTACCATGGGCAGGGACACCTTGCACTAGACCAGGTTGGTCAAAGGCGCAGGTCTGCCTCAGGGCACGGCCTGACCCAGTCTCCCGCCGCCTCACCCGGTTCGTTCCCGTGGGTGAAAGCTCCTCAGGGTGCAGTCCGGCCCTTGGGCGCTGCCGGTACGGCCAGGCCCCGGCCGCCGGATGGGCCCCGCTCGGCCTCCGCACCCCGGGAGGCGCTGTCGAGCCGCGCGACTGCTCTGGCCCCGCCGCCGTGCCCGCCTCGATGGTTCCGATCAGGTCCCGGAAGCAGCAGTGAGGTGATGGCGGCTGATGGGCCGATGGCGGCTAATGGGCCGGTGGCGGCGGCGGCGGAGCTGCAGACGGAGGGCGAGGTCGGTGGCGAGGTCTGTGGCGAGGTCGGTGGCGATGCGGAGGGCGACTTTGGGCAGCTGCTGGAAGAGGAGGAGGACGTGGAGGACGCCGGCTATGTGCTCTACAGGTACGGCTGCTCCCCTCACAAGACCACAGCGTCGCCGGCGGGAGCAGAAGGCCTTGAGGGGACAAACGTGAAAAGCGTCGGGTGTCGCGTCCTGCTCGGACCCGTGGCAGCCTGCGGGCGGGGTGGGTGGTCAGTCCCTTCCCTCCCCCAGGTTGTGCTGCCATTAGGCTCTGATCCCGTCACATATGTCAGCACCTCCTTTACTTCTTTATATGCTCCTCTCTGTTGCAGACAATAGAATCATAGAGCCAAGTAGGTTGGAAAAGACCTTTAAGATCATCAAGTCCAACCATTACCTCAGGATTGCCAAGGCCTCCACAAAACCATGTCACTGAGGGCCTCATCTACACATTGTTTGAGCAATTCCAGGGTCGGTGATTCCACCACTTCTCTAGGCACCCCGTTCCAATGCCCGAGCACCCTCTCTGTGAAGAAATTGTTCCTAAATCCAATCTACACCTTCCCTGGCGTACGTTGAGGCCATTTCATCTTGTTAGTTGGGAGAAGAGACCAACCCCACCTCACTAAAACCTCCTTTCAGGTAGTTGTAGAGAATGATAAGGTCCCCTCTGAGCCTTCTGTTTTCCAGACTAAACATCCCCGGTTCCCTCAGCCACTCATAAGACTTGTGCTCCAGGCCCTTCACCAGCTTCATTGCCCTTCTCTAGACCCGCTCCAGCAACTCAGTGTCTCTCTTATAGTGAAGGGCCAAATAACATGGTGACAATAATAGTGAACTTTTTGAACGGGGATGTGTTACTATGCATAGATTTGTGCCTGTAGAGGTTTAAGTAGCATTTTGTCCTTTTTAGAAGCATTGGAAAGAAAAAAAAAAAAAAACATGTATTAACAGGGACAGGAAGGAATGGGCAGATATTGAACCAATCCCTCAAAATGATGGGCCAAATCCTGTTGTTCAGATCATCTACAGTGAAAAATGTAAGTTTTAAATACGTTCTACAATCACAACTTTAGAGTGGCTAAATTTGTACCTGTCTTTAGCGTTGTTAAAGCAAGATTTCTCATTTTGGATAACAAACCTCCTAGAGCAGTACTGTGAAGAAATTATTGTTTATTATGTAATAGTGGTTGTGTGTGATGTTTTCACCAAACATGTCTGAAATTGGATCTTCACCTGAGATGTTAATAGCCAAAGTTTTATTTTAAAATCATACAACTGAAGAGGTCTGGTTCACATAATAAGGCGTTTCTAGCCCACAAATAGCAAAGGAATATGTGAAGCTCTCACATCTGGGCAAATAGCGTAAGTAGCAAGGAACTTTTCTGATTGTTTTGGATGCTATTCAGGTGGTGTACTTTTAAGATACTTTTGCAGCTTTTCAGTATACTAATACCATTTAGTAGTGCTGTCAGAGTAGTATGTAGCTGTCATTTTAAAGATGTATATTTAAAGTACAAAAAATAGGAAGTAACGTCAAAAGATTACTAACCTTACCCCCTAATCAGGCCATTGTTTCATAGCCTTGGATAAGATGCTCCTATTTATTTAGTTCGAGACGTCTATGATTACTTCCGGGCTGTTCTCCAGCGGGATGAGCGAAGCGAAAGAGCCTTCAAACTAACAGCAGATGCCATCGAGTTAAATGCTGCAAACTACACGGTATGGTAAGTGATAATTTTGGGATTATTTCTACCATTAGTTGATTGCTGCCCTTTTATGTCTTTAAAAAATGTGTTAGTCTAATCAGGGCATGACAGAGAAGTGGTGTCGACTTCCAGTGAGCTTCTGAGGAAAGCCGTTATTCAGTCTCATTTTGATTCAGTGGTTTTCATGCATTTGGCTTTGAGAATATTACCAGTCAGGTCAGGATTAGCTGCAAAAAGAACTTTGTTTTAAAACAGATCTGGTAATGTGGCCTTGGCAGGATGCTGAAAATGCCTCCAGTTGGTTTCAAGAGTCATAAAGCCATGACAACTACTTTATCTTACTAAATAGAATCATCGAATCATAGAATAGTTAGGATTGGAAAGATCACCTAGTTCCAACCCCCCCCTGCCATGGGCAGGGACACCTCACACTAAACCATGTTACCCAAGGCTCTGTCCAGCGTGGCCTTGAACACCACCAGGGATGGAGCATTCACAATTTCCCTGTGTATGCTTACTAAGTAGAGCATTTTAGAAGATCTGTCAGGTAATGTGCAATTAGGTAATGAACAAATAGTGAATTTATAATATTCAGAGTAGGACCTTTTAACTCCTGAATGCTAGCAAGTACCTCTTGTATGACTTTATTCTGCTAACTTGCATAAAATCAGAAAGTTTACATTATTTTAAGCACATAAGCCATAGTTTCTGTGAGGATAAGACTAGTGTGGGTAGTCAGAGATTGAAACAGGATTTCTGTGATCTCAGGTAACATACTGTTGTAACCAGTTGTATTCCAGTTCTCTGCTGTTTGATAATTGAATGGCCTTTAGCAGAACTGGATAGCGTTTTGCACTCTTTTTAAGTCAGTATCTATTAGAAGTACTGTGAATAAAGGTTCTTCTGTGTCCTCCTCTGGGAATTTTAGCAAAGCCATGTTGCAGCATTCAAATGCTTGACTTTTATGCAGGCATTTCCGGAGAGTCCTCCTGCAGTCCTTGGGAAAGGATCTCCACGAGGAACTTAAGTATATTACAGCTATCATTGAAGATCAGCCAAAGAACTATCAAGTCTGGTAATACCATGTTTTCTTTTCAGTTCTGAATGTGTTTGTAGATAGATTTTTGGGGTTTAAATTGCCCAGAATCAGTTGTGATCATTGATCCTAAAAGTTGTTAAGAGTTGCTTTCTGCATCTGCTTCAGTGGCAGTACTGGAAGATTTAAATGGGAGTTGCATCAGCATCACTGCCACAGTACTCTTTAACTGTTTGTTCTAAATATGTGATTATGACATGCTAAAAAGTCTGACAGATAAAAAAATTACTCATGAAAAGGCAAACAACAGATAGAAATGTGTGTGTTTCCTTTTATTGGCTTTTGGAGTTTGCTTATCTGTTGTTGGGTTTTGAAGTGAGGGGGAGAGTAGGCAGAACAGCTACATTGTGCTAAAGCAGATAAATTTGGCCATCAGTGTTAAAAGTGGAAATATGTTACTTCAAGTAAACATAGCTTATCAAAAAGGAGGTGACTGGCCAATGCGTGTACGTAGATAGAATCCATAACATTATAAGTCTACATTGTGTTTCTTAGAGCATGAAATGTTTTGGTTAGTATATATAATTTGAAGTATTTAATTTTTTTTCTAAGTAGTACAGTTGCCCTATGCTGTTTTAATACAGACGGTATGCTCACAAAAAAATTCAGACTATTCTAAAAATAGTTTCGGCCTCTTGTCATTAGGCATCACAGACGGGTGTTGGTAGAGTGGCTGCAGGATCCATCCCAAGAGCTTGAGTTCATAGCTGACATTCTTAACCAAGATGCCAAAAATTATCATGCTTGGCAACACAGACAGTGGGTTATTCAGGTATTGTATCTACAGAACTGTTGATTAAATAAATAACTTGCTCAGGTACTAGAGTTTTGCTTCTCAGATACAATCTGAATTGCATTTGGCACTTTGTTTCTAAGGCTAAAGGGGGGAAAACAATTGCATTTTACTGTGTGGTATTAACAATGAACTTGACTTTTAGAAACAAGTTCAAAAAGGCCTGTTGTTGGTTACTTACTTTTATCTGTGTGAGTTTAATAATGACATAATACCATTGTGTGCAACTGAATAGTGTAGTGTGTTCCTCATGTGTTGCAGAATGACTCTAAGAGCAGGACCATAGAGTTCTGGAGGACTGTGCAAGCAAGGCAGGGGGTGGCCCCCACAGGTGGCTGGAGACCGGACCTGGGAGGAGAATGTGGAGGAAGCTGTGGGGGCTAACCAATACTGTTATGCCAAGAAGGAGTGGCTGAATACCACTCCTATATATGTGTGAACTGCATCACAAATGAATTAGAAGTTGCTTATCACCCATATTGGGTTGGCCTGTCTGCTTCTCCTCGCCGCTTACACTCATGCACCCTTTAATTTTTGTTAATTTCCTTTAAAAAGTTTGTGTATATAATGTTCAGAGAACTTGGGAGAAAGGAGAATGTATTAAAAAAAAAAAAACAGAAATATTTGGTTGTGATAATCTCTCTTTCTTCCCTTTCCATAGGAGTTCAAGTTGTGGGACAATGAACTGGAATATGTAGACCAGCTTTTGAGGGAAGATGTGAGAAACAACTCTGTTTGGAACCAGCGGCACTTTGTAATCTTCAACACTACAGGCTATGACGATCCAGCAGTTCTAGACAGAGAAGTCCAGTTAGTAACATTATGCATGCTCACATTAAGCATTCTTCATTACATGAAAACAAATCAACACTTTGGCAGTCTCTGTGGGCTTGTCTTTCCTGGGCTCACTGTCACAGATAGCAGATAAAGTGTTAGTGCATGTACTGATGTGTTCTGTACCACTGACTTGTGGAGTAGTACTGAAGCAAGCTATGCTTACTCCAGGCAAGCTATTCTCACGAGTCTGTCTTCCTGCCCTGCTGTTTATTGTGCAAAGAAAACTTCTGGCCTTTCTTAGTCAATGAGCGATAGTGGAGCAACCTGCAAGAAAATCTGTGTTGCTGGAACTACATAAACTTTGCTCTTCGTTAGTATTTTGCATCCTATCCCTAGAAAGCTTGGAAGGAGAGGCACTCTCAGTGTAGTACTGAGCAGCTGTTTTAGTAGTAATGATTTAAAGTTACCGTGGATGTGTATTGTAGGAGGAGGAATTGCCTTTTGTGAGGAACATAATGCAGCTGGGAAAAGAAAAGAGCTTTCAGGGGTATGTAGTCAGCATGAAGACAACTACTTATATTAGATGGCTTGTTTTAGGGAAAATGGGCTTTGGAAACTCTCAGAGTGGTATGTTTATAACTGAAGAGAAAATGGGCCTCTAGCCATCTGTTCTACTACTGTGGTGGCAAGGGAAGCTCTCTTCACATCCCAGACTGCTGATCAGGGTTGATGGTTGTGAGAAGTTTGTCTGAAGCGAAGAAGCAATGAAAAGAAGGTACTACAAATATTTGAGTGGTTCTTTATAAGTAAGAATGAGTCTCTGAATAGATCCATTGGTATGTTGCTCATAGAGGATCTCAGCCCACACCACCTTTCAGGCTTGCCTTTGCAAACTGCTGTGAGTTTTATTTCCAGTTTATAACTTTCCTGCAGATTAATAAGTCTGAACCATTTCCATGACTTAGGCTTGGATGTTTCCATCTTTTTCTCTCCAGATGCTAGATCTGACATCCTCCCTTGATCTAAGATCTTGATACATGGTGCTGTGTTCAGGATAATTGGATACCATTTTAAGAATCAGACTGTCTAAGGTTAAGACTTCCCTGATGTTATAGAACCGTAGTTGGGCTGGTTGTTGCTTGACATAGTGACTGCAGAAGATTAAAAAAGTATTAGGGTTGTGTTGGTGTTTTGGTTTGTTGTTTTTTTTTCTCAGCACTGCTTATAGAATTTTTTTATCAGTATCTGCTGTCTCTGAAAATCAGCTGAATGCCTGGTTATGCTGGGGAAGGGCAGAAGGTAAATGTTCTGTGAAGATTAAATGTGGCTTTGCAGCTGCATGGCAAATGCCTCTCATTGCTTTGGTTTTAAAGGAGTTGTTTAACTTCTACTTTTTAAGAACTACTGCAGAAGAGAGCATGAGGTGAAAGCTCAAGCTCTGCCTTCCTCTGTGTTTGCTCAAGTGCAACATCGTGAAAAATGTTCTGCAAGTAGATACAGAATATATAATGTGCAGTCGTATTAACATAGCTCACCCTCGGCTTCAATTGTGCTAGCCATTTTCAGTCCCTTGATATTTCTTATGAGGGCGCAAATTATTCTATCAGTTTACCAGGAGAGTACATCATGTTTGTTTCTTAGTGTGATTGCTCATAATTTTGAGAACTGTCTCATAATTGTATAAAATGCAGCAAATGGAACACTTGAGAATTTAAAACAGTTCTCATGAGGTTCTCTTTGAGACTTGTGGCGATTGTATGGCATGGCATTTTTTATCTATGGCCCAGCTGAGATGATCTGCAAAAAGACTCTGAAATACAGACTAGAGGGATGCATTTGGAAGCATCTGAGGGCATCGAGGTAATCTCTCACTCACTGTTAATGGTTGCATTCATCTTTTTCTCCAGATACACTCTTGAGATGATCACTGCAGTGCCACATAATGAGAGCGCTTGGAACTATTTAAAAGGGTAAGGCATCATTCTCTGTGGGCAAAGAGTATCTGTAGAAGCTATCTTATGCCTAGCTCTTAACTGGAAAGAGCTTGTTGCTGTTCATTCTAGTGTTGTGTTCTCAAGCAGGCAGGCAGAAACCTCCACAAGGGGTTAATATATTAATCTAGTTTCTCCATAACTTTCCACTAAGTATCTGGCCTTGTGACTCTTATCAGAGGATTGCAAGTACTCATGCTTTTAAGAACTTGACCTGTAATGTTACTGCTTTCAAGAGCCTGGAATAAGAACTAATGACTATGCCTTCAGTATAATTTCTTTTCAGATGAGCGTAATTACAACATGAAGCTGTATTGTTGCTGAATGCTGCTTACTTTCTGCCTTACTTGTATTGGCACCCTTATTTCAAAACTGATCTCCACATAAAAGAGCCATAACCGAAATAAAATTCTTCACAGCATGTTTCCCAGTGTTATGTTTCAAGCCTTTTAACCTCTGTTTTAGGATTTTACAGGATCGTGGTCTTTCCCAGTATCCAAATCTATTAGAGCAACTGTTGAGCTTACAGCCCAGCCACAGTTCACCTTATCTGATTGCATTTCTTGTGGACATATATGAAGATATGCTTGAAAACCAGTGTGATAACAAGGAAGAAACACTAAACAAGGCATTAGAGGTATGTTTTGAGAATTTGGGTTTTTGTTTCTTATGCCATCTATTGTTCTCTTGTTTTATATCCCAACAAAATGGGATTGATTTTTTTAAATAAAACAGGTTACTTGTTAATCACTGGAGCTCTGTGAAGAGTTGAACATGAAAGCCAGATAATCAGAAGGGTCTGATGAATTTATCTATAGTTAGTAATTTGCCAGATAATCACTGTAAGCTTTCTTCACCTATTAGTAAACGAAAGGTTTCTAATACTGCCTGCAGAAGAAAGATGTTTCAACAATCGAGGTGTTGTTATGCTGCAAAGCTAGCATGGGATTACCTTCCTTCTCTGTGGGTTAGTGAATCTTGTTCTCAGAGTGTCTGTATCTAAAAAGAATCTCAGGAGCCCTTTGCACTTCTTAGCTCTTTCTAAGAAGGCTGGCAGAATTAGCCTAAAAGCCAGCAGGCAGTGGCAACATCAGTAAGGGTTGTCAGCACCATTTCCTACAGAGAATCTATGACTTCTAGCAGTGCTGTATATCTCCTTGTGCTTCATATCTGGGGAGCTTCTTGCAACTGTTTGCAGTGTAGTTTTTATAAAACCAATTTTCATTCACTGTACGACAGACTGAAATCTAATTAGAACTGCAGTTCTTGCCTGGAGTCTCTGTGTTCCAACATTGTTCATTCTCAGCATTTTTCCTTTTGTTGTATTCCAGGACCAGAGTGTAAATAAGTGTAGTAGTATGTCCCAGATGCATATGCCTTTATACTATTGCACAGAGTTTGACTTCTTCATCTATTTAGGTATCAAAGCTCCTATTTCTCAACTCTGGTTCACTGATTGAGGCAATGTCATCTGCATAAAAGAAGTGAATTGACTAGAACATTTGTAGATAGTATTCATACAATACAAATTTTACACAAAATGTTATGTGAGTAGAGTTGATTTCTGCTGTGCCTCACTGCACACCCAGATCAAAATAAAAATCAGAACAAGTAGAAGTATAGCACCAACTCTAACATCTTGTGAGAGAACGTTACTGACTTGCATGGAGAATCCTTTTATGACAGTCTGCTAATTGAGAAGCCACAACCAAGTATCTCCTGTCAGTCCACCAGAAGTACTGAAGATTCAAGAGCAGGATGTTCCACCTCTGCTTTGAATGAAGTGGTGTACAGCCTACTGGATCACTAAAAAAAAATAAAGCTGCTCAGGAAGTCAAAAGGATACTGTAGTATACTTCAGGCTGAATAGTCTGGGGTAGATGATGAGTGGTAGGCGTGGAAAGGAGTAATGGGGAAGCAGCTGCAACTGAAATAGGACTGGAGATATTTTTGTGCAGTTTTGTGTCAGATTACTTGACTACCAGGTGGAGTGGACATCAGTTTGAGGTCATCAGACAGTTGCAAATGGGGTTAATAAAACAATTGTTGCTGGAAAAGGTGTTTCTGTTACGGGCTGAACCATATATTGTATACATTTTATAAAGATAATTAAGGATTCTGTAAACTTTTGGTGTAACTCCAATCTTTCAATTTTCTTTTATAGTTGTGTGAAATTCTGGCTAAAGAAAAAGACACCATCCGAAAGGAATACTGGAGATACATTGGAAGGTCCCTTAAAAACAAGCACAGCTCGGGCACTGAACAGAGCACACTGACAGACAAGCAACAGTAACTGAACATGGGAGAAAATGGTGTTAAGTTCTCAAGCTGTTTTAAAGCAGTACTAAGCAGAGTTATCAACTATTTTAAAATCCAGAGTAGTATTTATAGTCCGGTGAAGACATACTGCAATAAAAGAGGAGTGCAGAGTGCTGTATAGTCTTCAGGTTGCTGCTGCTACTGGTGATATTTTTAGGTGCAGTCAGGAAATATATTAAGGCTTAATTATTGAAACGTACTAAATAAAGGTTTTATTTCCTAGTTATAGATATGTAATAACGTTAATAGCCATCTGTGGAAGTGTTCAAGGGCGATGGGGCTTTTAGCATCTTGATCTAATGAGAGGTATCCCCACCTCTGTGGCAGGAGGGCTGTAATTAGATGATCACTTAAGGTCCTTTCCAACCCAAGCCATTCTATGGTTCTGTGATAAAGCTATACCTGCTACTTACAAGGCAATAAACCAACTTCTTATGCCGTGGCTTAACCACTCCTGGTTCCTAACAGTCACATCAGATGGTGCAGTAAAAACTGCAGGTAATTTAGCTGTAGTAGATATGAAGTGAGCTATTTCTAGTTAGTGCAGTTGTTGCCTCACATAGGAGCAGCTATGCAACACTGACAGCCCGTGCTATTGTATGCAGTTAATACCAAGTGTCATTTTGTAATAAAAACAGATAACATTTTTCTGAAATTTTTTGGTGTGTGTCTTTTGGCGTTTAAATGTGCATAGTTTGTTCTTTTATGCTAATAGGGGTTAAAATATCCCTTTTAGGGGGATTCTATTGTACTGAGGTGTCTTTTGCACTGGAGTACTCTCATCCTAGAAACTTTCGATACACTTGATGTATTCAGTGGAGCCTTGAATTTTTATCTGCACAGTCAGGAAAAATTCTGTAAGGACCCCAGAAGATCTGCTTATTTTTTTTAATTGGGATTCTGTTCAGCCAGCTGAAAATCTGATTTATCTATTTTCTCTTCACCCTTTGCAACCTAACCAAGCTGAAGTCATAGTTTGTAAGAGATAACAACTGGTTATGTTGCATATCTTAACTGGAAAGGAAGGACTGGTTTTATTGGGAACCTATAAATGTCTTAACCTTCTTGCTCCTATAGGCTTTCTGTGTATTTTTCATGCATATATTAAGCAAAGAATTAGTTTTCCTCCCCTTTGTGAAAGACAGAAGGCACCTGCAGTACACAATTCAAAGGATGCGTATACCTGTACAAGTAAACTGTATCTGCCCTGTTCTCAGTAAATGATTATTGTAAACTGTGTTCTTAGAGTGCTTGTCTGTTATGAAGTATTTTCTTGGAGATGGTCGTAAAAGGAACAAATAAATACCAGTATTTATTCCATAATATGAACAGTCTTTCTGATACTGAACATAAAAAGCTACTGCTGTAACTAAACCATATGAAATTATTTTATACTTGAAATATGTTAAGTCAATGCATTCTTTAAAGCAACTCAGAGAGAGTGAAATACATGAAAGCTATCTAATCTTTTGTTAATGTTTTTGACACTTTCCCTACAGTAGAAGAACATGTTTATAGCAACACATGAACATTTAAATACAGGAACATGAACTTCAAGTGGTAACTTGGCAGTCCTGGGGTAAAGGTTGGACTTGATGATCTTAAAGGTCTTTTCCAACCTACTTGATTCTATGATTCAAACATTTGGGGATTTGTTACCTGGGGATTTTTTGTGCCTTTTCTTTACCACAGTTGAAGCTTCAGTGCAGAACAAAAAGTGTATGTTTATATCCCCATGAATGGTTTCTAATTGAAACTATAATAAATCAGTCAGGATGTTCCAGGTCTTTAGGACAAAGTAGTATATTTGTCACTACCAGTCAAGAAAGCTCAGACGTCTACCATAAACAAATGCAATCCTTAAAATAAATGAAGAGGGAAGGGAATTTTGCATCTGCATATGGTGTTACTGCATTCCTTCTTTCCTGAACAATATTCAGAAGGCGCTTGTAATAAGGCAGGGTATTTTTTATAGACACTGGCATGGATTGCAGAGAAAAATAACTCATCCCACAGTAAGATGATGAAGAGTGTCCCCTGGGGCAGTGCACTGGGGATGTGAGTTCTGGTCATTTGTGGTTTGAGGAAAGACCTTGGCTTTAGCCCTGTTCTGTTGCAAGAATAGTGAGATCCTCTGACAAGACCCTTGGACTATTTTTCTTACGGTGTGGTCAACTTAGGGCTTGCTTGAATGATGCCTAGAGGTAAAGAGGCATCTACTGACAAGTTTCATGGGGGACAATGGAGGAAATTACAGACCACTGCCTCCTGGACCCCCAGTGTTAAATTACAACACAAGGAAAACCTTAGGGTAAAATGCAGCTGCTACTTCCAGGATGGGATGCCGTTGGCATGCATGGAATCTACCTGGTGATGTTAACCCGGGCAACCCTGGAACCTTGGCATATGCTGAGAGAAAGTGACCAGAGGGTGGAGCAGAGTGAAGGCCCCGCAGCCAGTCTCTTTTGTACTCCCTGCAGGAGCAGGAACTAAAAGGCACCATGTACTGGTAAACTGCACAGCAGCTGCCAACCAAGGAAACTAGATCTGTATTTGTAAAAGCAAAGTGAGAGGATTTTACACCCATCAGTAACAAAGTCTGCATGACCAGAGTCACTCAAGCTCCACAGACATAGAGTTAAAAAGTTGAAACCTGTGTTATTATGGGGAAGCCTGGACAGATCCAAGGGGTGCCTGCAAGGTCAGGATGAACAACACTGATGAACGAAGAACTGAGAGCAGGCGAGGAGGCTCTGCTCCTGTGTAGGCAGATTAATAAGACACAGAGCTAACATGCTGGAGACTAGCGTCCATTAAAAAAAGAAAACAAATCACTATGTTTCAAGAGAAATCCTTGGGTTTTCTTTCAAATGTTTCTGTTTAGTGTCACTGAGATTGCAAGGAAGCTCTAAAATTCTCAGTTCTGTGCTATTCAGGCATACTCAGAAACACTGAGCTGCAGAGCTGGGGAAGAAACAGGCTGCCCAGACAGGCGGCAACTGCAGCTACCAAACCTTTGATTTTTAAAGTGTGTCCAAGACAGAATCTGTCATATGGAAGTGAGAGCGTGACAAAAATGTATGAGCTATGGAGAGAAGGGTGTTACAGCATGAACTGTTAGATGACTTTAACCTGTAGGCATTGGTACTGACTACCTATAATTAGGGGAAACACAAAACTCATTCATCCTAAGGGTTCATCTCTACAAGAAAACTTACTGTTGTTACTGATTGTGTGTAGTGATCTAACTCTTGCATACAATTTTATTACTGAAGAGCTGTGTCAAAATGGAAAACTATATTCATACAACTGTCCCTTGTCAATCAGTGTCATTGAAACATTCAGTAGAGTACGAAGGATTATTAAAGAGTGTAAAATAATTTCCTATCCCTGTTTTTATCAGAGGCTGATGTTCTTGCCTTGGTCTAGCTGTTTCTTCTGTCTAAGCTGTTATTAAATTCCTTCTTATTGTCTCTGCAACTCGGCTGACAGAACATGTCCTTCCTAATCTGTTCAGTAAAAAACCACCTCAGCACAAAATGCTTCTATCAGTTGCTGTCTGGCTGTGCTGAGGCAGATTAGGAGCATGCTGTTTAGCTGGACCTTCTGTGGGAGCAGTATCCTTCAGCAGGGAAGCAGTGAGGTTTCTAATCACTCCTGCCATGCAAAACACTTCAGTCCAAGTGCTAACAGGGAATTCATGCAATGCACTGGTGACAAGGGGCTTATAGAGATTTGGGCCCCTACAACAGCATAAAATGCCTTAAAGCTCCTGTGGCTTTTAGAGCAAAGGGATAAAGGAACAGCATGAAGTGATGGTGTAGAGTCATCCCTTATGGGCTCACACAAAGGCTTTGCAATTGCTGGTGTGCTTGCCCATGTGCCAGTTCCAAATAAGCAGGGGAGACACTGCGGCTATGGTTTTCTTGCCCTGTATATGTGAATGGAGCCACGTGTCTCAGGTGTTGGCCCATGTAGGGCATAGTGGATTCAATATCCCTTCTGCTGATAGGATGGGACCTGAATTTCATAGAACCAGAGAATGGTTTGGGTTGGAAGGGACCTTAAAGCTCACCCGGTTCCAACCCCTGACATGGGCAGGGATACCTTCCACTCGACCAGGTTGCTCCAAGCTCTGTCCAACCTGGCCTTGAACACTGCAAGGGATGGGGCAGCCACAGCTTCTCTGGGCAACCTGTGCCAGAGTCTCACCACCCTCTCAGAGTGAAGAATTTCTTCCTAATGTCTAATCTAAATCTCCCATCTTTCAGTTTAAAGCCATTCCCCTTTGTCCTGTCACTACATGCTCTTAGAAAAAGTCCCTCTCCATATTTCTTTAGGGCCCCTAAGAAAAGAAAAAAAAAAAAAAACAACAAAAAACCCACACCACAATCAGAAAAACAAACAAAAAAACAAAACATAGAAAGGAAAAAATAAAAAAAAGAAAAAAGCATCCTGGCATGTAAGAGGCACACAAGAGCATGTGTATGTGAACATTCAGGATAAGATTGACAAAACTGAGCATGTACACACTTACTTAGGTGTGTGTAAGAACTTGGCATGGAGAGCTAGTAGAAGCTTCGCCAAATTTAGCCAGGAACCCTACCTCGGGATGCCCAAATGTTTACATCAGCTGTCCTATGTAAGCTCCTCTGGGCTAGCACTCTGTGCTCCATTAGACGTGTCACCCACCACTGTCCCTCACCGGGTCATGGGATGTAAGCCTATGTCAGTCCGCAGCCTCGGGCAATTAGAGCCTTTGGAGCATCAGTTTTCGGCTGCTGTGCGGCAGAGAAAGGGACGTGCATCGCTAGATGGCAGTGTGTAATACCCGCTCAGCTCACCGAAGTCGGCTGTGTGCAGGCACGCACAGCTGTAACTAGGACAGCTCTTTCTCTATGCAACGCAACTGATTTCACACCTGCTAATTAAACACGGAAGAGCAGCTGCGTGGTAAGCCAATACATAGCACCACAGACGGCTGGAGCTCCAGTATTCTGGGAGGAGCTAAATGGTCATCTTCATTAAAAATTGTTGGTGTTAATTGGAGAGAAATTTGTCATCAACTGCAATGATGCCTTCTCCTACACGGGACACTCTGTACCAGATCCGGACTCTGCTGAGTCGCGGTATTCTAAAATAACCTCGTGGCTAAGTCCCTCTGCTCAAAGCATGGGTCCTGTGGTCAGTTTACACCTGTTGGAGATGTGCCTCCAGACAGTGCTACACTCATGCACCTCCACAAGCTGGGAAGTTTTGGTCCCCTAAAGCCAGCTTTGTTATGGTAAGTTTCTCTGGTCCCTCTGTGATGAAGAGCTGGCCATTGCTGCTCCTGCTTCTTGGAAGCCATGGGAGGACTTGGGCCAAATTGAGGAAATGGAGCATGCTGCTGCAGGTCAAAAGTGGCTGCATCACTCATCAGGAAGCAGGACAGGATTTCAGTGAAGGAGGTCAAAGATGTCTCTTTCTCATTGGTTTGTCGAGATTGAGTCTTGCAGTTTGTAACCATGGAGGAGGTATTTGAAGTGAGTGAAGAGATGCCGCATGAGCACCCAGCAATTCAGCCCTTGAGCTACTCAATTGCAGCTGCTTCTTATGTGTGTATAGACTGAGCTGCCAGGCTATGCTACCTACGCTACCTATA